ACATGTAATTTATGTGATATGTACAGCTCGTTTGCTTAGAATGTTTCACAACCTGTAAGCGCAATGAACTCTATTTATTGCAGAGGCGCAGGCATAATTTTTTTTTTTTCAGGCTGTAGGGGCACCACTTTGATCTGAAGAGTGTGCCGGAGAGACAAGTGTGGTCACAATAGCCGAAACATTTTCTCTCTCTCTTTTTTTTTTTTTTTTTTTTTTTTTTTTTGAAGGGTAGGCGAAGAACGGCACAGGCCCGGTGTGCCACATGCAGACCGCACCACTCAGTTATTGCAGGCCAAGAAATAATCATACATTTCTTTAGTATTAGCGTGGCCTTTATCTATAACTAAGTAGTACTCATTCAGCCCTCATCTAGCTGCTTTACCTTAAGTCCGCGTATTTGGAAACGAATTTCCCGCTGTTTCGCATGCACAGATAGCAGACGACGCTTCTTCGCCAATCCCAAAGATACAGCAGCGCCACCGCTGCGGGATATGCGAAATGCGGCCGCTCCTCACCCCTGCGACCGCGCGCGCTTACCCAACTGACAGTACCTAAAAACGTTGGTCTAAATGTAACGCTCAAAGTTTGATAATGAATATATCGAACAATGTATTTTTTAATTTCCAATCAAGTAAGTATGTCATAAATTAGGACGCGCTTCAACTTCTCCGTGTGAATTGGCAGATCTCACGTATAGTGGGAATCGATGATATGCGAAGCACGAATGAGGAAGGTTGATATGTCACTTTGAAATCAGCACAGTGTTACGAAGCGGACATAAATTATACCGTACATGACTTCCATGCCATGATTATCATGATCAAGGAGGTTATACTAAATCTGTTTTAGTATAACCTCCTTGGTCATGATTTACCTTCTTCGTCTATTCACGTCACGTGATACCAAATTTGGTACATGTGGAGCTAGCGAAATGGCAGCGGGTGCGCTATGAGCGTAGCATGTAGTCATGTTTCACATGGCACAGATATCATGATTATCATGTTTGGACGTGCCATTTACCTTCGTCGTCTATTCACGTCACGTAGTACCGAATTCGGTATATGCGAAGCTAGGGAAACGACCGCGATATCATGCGCGTGGCGTGTTGTCTCATGTTCTGACATGACACGCATGTCATGGTTTCTACGTTAAGGTCTGTCACTTGTGTTCGCCATGCAGACATGCCATACTATACCAGTTTTGCAACATGTCATGTTAATGAAACCATCGCAAGAGCAGCAAGACCATGAAATGTAAATCATGACATACATGTCATGATTTTCATGTTTTGGCTAGTCACTTATGTTCGCCATACAGTCATTTTATGCCATACCGATTTTGGTATCGATACCATCATCGAAACGACCAGGAGAGCGAAAAGTCGTAGGTGGCTCGATATAGATAGATAGATAGATAGATAGATCGATAGATAGATAGATAGATAGATAGATAGATAGATAGATAGATAGATAGATAGATAGATAGATAGATAGATAGATAGATAGATAGATAGATAGATAGATAGATAACCTCAAAGTCGCCGACGTTTGCTAAGAAATGCTTCGCATTCATACATGTGTTGTCGTAGCCATGAATGCTTTACAGGAAATATGAATACCCTAGCCAGTAAAAGTGGCCATGGCAGTTTGCATCTAGAGCTGGGAGTGCATACCGCGTTATCCGCGCGCGAACAGAGTCGACGCGCTGTAAATGCCGGGATTGCGGTGACCACATTGGTCGCCATAGCAACGGTTCATAAAACAGTTTTCTGTCTTGGAGCTGTGTTAGTTGCGCCGTCCCGGCGATAGATATCCGGTGCTGTCGCCGGACCAATGGGCGTGCGCCGCTGTAACTTAACTCTATCTGGCAGAACGCGCCTTGCAAGCGAACCGAGATGTTATTCCCTAAACATAACGCTCTTCGTAAAACGGGGGGGGGGGGGGGGCATAGTCGTGTTCGAAAATTTATTGGCCTGGTTCTAACCCTTGCAGAACGCTGCTTAAAGGGGTACTGCACAAAAAATTTGGCCTTGCGTTTTTCTGCTGATATGCGTGTCTGTAGGCCTGTTAGTCCTGACACGATACATGGTTTGCTGCAGCATGCTGTAGATAATTGATTACAGGCCCCTCATCATCGATCAGTTTCGGTTTGGGAGAGTTCCAAAAACGGGGTGCAACTGTCACCACCTTCCGTGTGCAACTCTTCACCACGTCAGCACACACAACTGTGACGCACTTCCGCACGATTCACATCAAGAATTGCTTTCGAATAGGAAACGGTACTTGAATGTTGCCAAACACAAAACTTTCTAAGCGTGCGCCATGGCCACGCACTCGCAACCAGCCGCTGAGAAATACATACTTCGGGGACTGACGCGGCAAAAGAAAAATGGAGGCTATGACGTCATCATAACTTGTTTTGTTGACCGCAGCGTAGTGACGTGAGGGAAGTAGGGGGTCACCGCTGGGTCACCTCTATGTTGTCTATAGCGCTATGGAGTCGTTCGTTCACGCACACTTCAAAATTAATTTGAAATACCTTCCAAGCTATATTCGCTGTTGTTATCTTGCAGATGATATATGCATGTTAACGAGAATCGACCCCGCAGGCTATCTCAACCCCGAAATTTTGTGTCAGTACCCCTCTAAACAACCTTCGCCGCAGTACACCAACGTCTTGCCAAAAAGCGTAATATGATTTGGAAGGGGCTGTTAGCAGTATACTCATGGGACAGCGAATTTCGTTCAATTACTCATGCATGTATGCTACCGCATAATTGTGAGTACTGGTATGATCGGTGACGTCTGAAAGTTTCTGGCAATGATTTGGAGCAGTGTATGACACATTAGTCGCATCCCCCTCCCCCCCCCCCCAAAAAAAAAATTTTTTTTTCTGGGCCACCCTTACTTAGTATTACGAATCCCTTGAATTTCAAGGTGGCCAGCTAGGCAGCTTTACATTTTAATTCACGGATTCACTCAAAGTATTTGACATACGCCGCAAGTGCTAATGTGGAATTTATCACTGTTTGCTCATTGGGGTAGTTCTAAAAAAACTGGCAGATCCAACGCGGGAATCGATGATATGCGAAGCACGAATGAGGAAGGTTGATATGTCACTTCAAAATCAGCATAACGTTAGCAGGTGGGCGTAAATTATGTCGTACGTCACTTCCATGCCATGATTATCATGTTTGGATATGTCATTTACCTTCGTCATCTATTCAGGTCACGTGATACCAAAGTTAGTATCACGTTGCGTGATATGTGGAGTATGGAAAACGGCCAAGAGAACACGATGAGCGTAGCATGTAGTCATGTTTTACATCACACGCATGTCATGATTATCATGTTTTGACGTGTCATTTACCTTCGTCGTCTATTAACGTCATGCGATACCAAATTTGGTATATGTGGAGCTAGCGAAATGGCCGCGAGCGTGCTATGAGCCTAGCATGAAATCATGTTTGACATGACACGCATATCATGATATCATGTTTATCATGAATACCGTGTTATTCACCTTCGTTGTCTATACAAGTCACGTGATACCAAATTTGGCATATGTGGAGCTAGTTAAACGGCCACGAGTGCATTATGAGCGTAGCAGGTAGTCATGTTATACATGGCACGCATGTCATGATTAACATGTTTGGATGTGTCGATCTTCGATGTGCATTCACATCATCATCATCAGCCTGACTACGTCCACTGCAGGACAAAGGCCTCTCCCATGTACCGCCAGTCAACTCGTTCCTGTGCTTGCTGCTGCCAATTTATACCCGCAAACTTCTTAATCTCATCTGCCCACCTAACCTTTTATCTCCCTTTAACGCGCTTGCCTTCTCTAAGAATCTAGTTACTCCTTGACCAGTGGTTATCCTGTCTACGTGCTACATGCCCGGCCCATCTTCATTTCCTCTTCTTGATTTCAACCATGATATCCTTAACCCCTGTTTGTTATCTAATCCACTCTGCTCTCTTCTTGTCTCTTATGGTTACACCTACCATTTTTCTTTCCATTGCTCGCTGCGTTGTCCTCAATTTAAGCTGAGCCCTCTTTGTAAGTCTCCAGGTTTCTGCTCCGTTCAACATCATATAAATCATGCAGAGTAAACATGAGCACGTTGTTTCGATAGCGACTTTGATCGTATCTATCTATCTATCTATCTATCTATCTATCTATCTATCTATCTATCTAGCCGCCTACAACCTTTAGCTCTCCTGGCCATCCCGATAATGGTATCGATGTCAAAATGGGTATGGCATAACATGATTGTATCACACGCATAAGTGATTAGTCATAACATGAAAATCGTGACAAGTATGTCATGAATGTCGTGATTTACATTTCTTGGCCTTGCTGCTCTTGCAGTGGTTCAGTTCACATCACATATCGCAAAACTGGTATGAAATGGCATGGCTGTATATGATGATGACTGGCTTGAACATACTATTTTTTTTTTGTAAATGTAAGCCCTCTTTGCTACAAATGTGGTCTTTCGTGATGAATATCAGATGTTTTATTCCCCGTAACCTGCTCGAAATTCTATTTCGGCTGTTGCACCCCTAGTGGGCATTTGAAGCATGTTATTCGTTTCCGCAAATTGCGCCACATCTACCGCCCGCCACTACAACCGTGTGTAGCGGCCACCTTTGTCTGTCAGCGCAATATGATAGAACGAAGTTGAAAAAAAAAATTGCGGGCATGTGCTTATGGGCATACTTGTCCTCACCTTTTTAGCCTCTTAATTCAGTCGTGTGGGAAAGATACACATAAAAAAAACTACCGTTCGCGCCCGATATAGTTAGACATTTGGCTGGCTATACAACTGTTCGGTGTGGTTATGTTAAGAAACGATGGCGATAGTATTTAAGGTGACCGCATGTGTGTGTGTGTGTGTGTGTGTGTGTGTGTGTGTGTGTGTGTGTGTGTGTGTGTGTGTGTGTGTGTGTGTGTGTGTGTGTGTGTGTTAACTCTTTTTTTTTTGCGCAGACGAAATGGACAAAACAGATAGTGATGCGGCAGCGACTCCGGCGCACGATTATCCCGCTGACGAACTCGATGAACTCGACGACCTGTTGGCTCGCCATGAAAGTTTCAGGGGATGCTTCTCTAGTAGTCTGGTCGACCATCGCATGCCCTGCACGGCCTCCGATGACACATGGTGCCAGATTGTGGCCGTAATTCCCCAGTGGAACGAGTTCCTCGGTTGGCTTGAGCTGGAGCTGCATAAGTTGCCCGGAGAGGGGAGACATATGGGACTCGTGCAGGTCTGCAACATTTGTCATGTGCGGCCCGAAAAAAACCAAATACTTCAGGCCGCCGCCATCCTCTACTGGCTCCTGAAAACGCATCGCTGCGTGGCGTCCATCCAGATTCCAGACTACAATGGCGATCTGGTAATGACCTATTGGAGCAACGTCGTCATTGGCCGTGTGCTAAGCGGAAATGACTCCGTGAAATCTTTGACCTTTGCTGAGCTTTTCCCGCTGACAAGCGAACGCCTTTGCGAAGTTTTCCCGTCGATGAAGCGCCTGGAAGAACTGCATTGTGGTGCATTATCTCAAGATGCCTCGTGTACACACATGGTTTTGGAGCTTCTCCGTGGGTCTCAGACGTTAACCGTGCTCGATTTCATAGTACCATACATTGACGAGACGCACAGGTGTCGCCTGCTAAGCGCACTCGTGGTCAACTCCATGCTGCGAGATTTGACGCTATGTGCCACTGCAATAGTTGCACTGCCTCAGTCGTTCATAGACTTTCTGAGTAGCACGGTCGCACTGAAATACTTGAAAGTGTACGGAATCCTCAGAGCCGCTAAGCGCAAGGCCATGAAAGTGATTTTTCAAGGCATGCTCAAGAATGAAACAGTCAGCAGTCTGGAAGCACACGAGCTCAGTTTGGATAGTGAAAGCGTCAATTTGGGAGCCAAAATGCTGGTGCAGAGCAAAGTGTTGCGAGCCTTAAGTCTGTGGCGTTGCTTGTGCATTCTTGATCATTCTATCGCCGAACGGCCCAGCAACATAGATTTTACTAAAACCGCCTCCTGGCTAGAGGCCATCTTGAACAATGGCACGCTAGAAAATTTCACGTTGAGCTTGAACGTGTGGACAAGTGAGTGTTGGGGACAATTCTTTCGTGTTTTGTCGCGACATGGCAGCCTAAAGATGGCAACTCTCGTCACGGACGACAACGACCGCGATCGCCTGGCCGACATCGCGAACAAGCTTGGCGAAATTGGTTGTGAGGAGAAAGTCACCTTCGTAGACTATTATACCGGCGATAGCATCTCGCTAGCAGACTGCAAGAATTACTCCGAACTGTGCGCATATGTGAGCGCCACAGAGAATTGTAGGGCGTTGCCAGTTTATCAACAGCTCTCCACATTTCCCCCGTTGACATGTCTGAGCCTAGGAATGGAAGAGTGGGGAAAGGAGTTGTGCTGGCTTCTCGTTGACTTCGTATCGGCGACGTGCACGCTCCAGACGCTCGAATTGGAGCTCAGAGGGAGGAGCTTTCGGACCGAATCGCACGACTGGTGGCCAGGTCTGTCGCAGTCTCTGCTGCGCAACGGAAGCATCATTGATCTGGGCCTCGAAGTTCTCGTGAGAAACCACAATGAAGGCGTTGAATGTCTAGGCAAAGCTGTAGCACAAAGCAAGACGGTCAGAACGCTCCGTTTGGGTTGGCGGTTCGCATCCAAATGCGACAGCTTTCTTCAAGGCGTGCTGTCTGTCGTCGAGAACTACGCGTTGTGCCACGTTGAGTGGGACTGGGAGGTTCCTTTCTCGCAGAGTGGAGCCCACCTGCTGAATGCCGTGGTTGACGTCGCACATCGGAACTCTGGCTACGTGGCACGTGCCGCCCAATTCCTGGACTGCAGACGTTGTGACACGTGAGTACTCAGTGGCACGCAATGATTTCGGCCATCTTAAGGATATAGTTGGGAAATCGCGTTAGTGTCAGATGACAGGAGTCACGCCCTACAGTCTGTGATTACCGATACTTTTCTTCCGCTGAAGTACAATTTTTTCTTGGTCGTGCTTTATAGAATCGCAGTCGCATCTGGCCAGCAACGTTGCAAGGGTTTCCTGCATTCATAATCACGTCGTAATCGAAATTGTAGGTGAATAAAATCAATTCGAATGAATGTATAATAATGCATTGAGGACATCACGCGAATCAAACGTGCATAATTGTCAAATGAAATTTTAGATTACATTATATATCCAGCTGCAGTGAAGGTTAATAGACTTTAATTTTAATTATAAACTGTTGGTGGTCTACTCGGCTGCGGACCCGCTGGTCTAGGGATCGAATCCCGACCGCGTCGGCTGCATTTTCAATGGAGGCGGAAATGATGTAGGCCCGTGTGCTCAGATTTGGGGCATGTTAAAGAACAGCAAGGTGGTCGAAATTTCCGGACCACTACGGCGTCTCATAATCATACGGAGGTTTTGGGACGTTAAATCCCACATATCAATCAATCAACCTGTTGGTGGTGAGCTCACGGCAGGTGTAACACCTAAAAATGTGACATGTTTAATGCCCCGTGACAGCATAGACATTCGCTTGGGCCTTAGCGCTGGTATGTTATGCGGGTGTAGATAATTCGATGCAATCGATACAGCCAGCATTTTCCCGCATGTCTGAAATGTATTTCGTTTCATTTCACAACAGGCCCTGTGCTGCCGCTTTGGACCGAGTGCACCGGCACCCAGCCCTCATGGCAGAGCTGGCCAAAGTATTGTCCCTCTCCGAAGCCGACGCCGCAATCGCCGTGCGACGGCGATTTCGAAGCATCGAAGGCATGCACGAGTTCATGCGACTGGCCGGTGTCGTCAAGGCACGGGTCACGTGTGAGCCACGTGACGACGGCCGCACTCGGCTGGACGCCCTAGGCGAGCAATGCTGGGCCCACGTGAGACGGTACTTGCAGCTCGACGACGTGGTGTGGCACTGATCGTCCTCGATGAATGCGATGTAGCCGTGTTCGATTCTCAAGTGAGGCCGCAACGTGGAAGACCTGGTGCGGCTATACATGAGCGCGAAAAGTTTACGCTAATAAAGTTTAATGTTTCAGAAACAAAAGTTAACCGGTGTTCTCTTCACAATGATTTCTCGCTTGTCATCGGCAGGATAACTATTGGTAGGGTGTGCAATCATAGGCGTGTGGGAGAGGAGGAGGGGGGTTCCCCGCTAATAATCCTTGAGGTGGGGGCGCCAAATGTTCCCTATACTGTACTCTGTCAGATCTGCCCCGTAATTTGCAAACATAAGGCTTATGATAGCCCAGGTTTTCGGCGTTAATGGCGGATGAAGGTCTCTCATGTGCAGTGGTGGGAAACCTGCGCCAATTGGAAATTACTGCTCCACACTTCAAGGTGGTTTTAGAACCGAGAGTAATGTTGACAGCACTAATCGTGAGCGGATATTACGCGATGTTCGCCATCTTGTGCACTGCTCCATTTGCGTAGAGTTGGCTGCTGCAAAAGTGCGGGATCGGCTGATCAATTATTCCGACTTTCACGCGATTTTGGCGGTGCCTTTTCTGGTAAGCAGCGAACGAATGGGATGTGGCGACTACCGAAAGGTGCACCGGTATGACTTATCACCGACTTTGCACCGCTTCAAGCCTAGTGCACGCTTTTAATAGCTGGCGACTATGAGCGCTGCCGCCTCAGTCGTTGTTGCTGGACGTTGTGCACGGCTTTGCAGAAACGAAAGCAACTCGTTGCTGCGAGTGTTGTGGATCACGGGCACCGAGACAGTAGCACACGCCTTGATGAGGCGACAGCCCAAATGCGTCCGCTACCAGGACCGCTAGAGCATCGCTTTCAGAAATCTCGCGTCAGCGCCGCATCTGTGCACGGTCTGTCGAAGTGCGCGCATGCGGCACGGTGTGCACGCAATTAGCCAGTAGACGATGGGCTACCTGCGACCGCTTCTCGGTGTTTTCGCCAAGTAGTACAACGCGGACAGCCGTTCATGCCCGTTTCGCACTCCACAGTAGTTTCGAAATGCTCCTTGATGTCGCCACCGCGCGCGATCGGTGCGAGAGGGCAATCATTTCTAAAAATTGGTGAACAGAAATGACGGTGAGCACCTCAGGCAACATTTTCTATGGCATTTCTTCATTCTTTAGCGGCGGTGGCGAGAATTGGTATTTGGTGGCCTACTACGATTGGTGCAGCCACGTTCTAGGCGTGTGACGAGGTTTATGGGAGCGACGACCGCGAGCACGCTGATCGGAGGTAGAAGATCGCGAGTGCGCTTGAGGCACGCGGCGACTGGACGCTGCGGTCAGACAGAGAACTTTATTGAGGTCCTGAGGAACACTACCTGGTAGACCAGCGGGCCTCTCTCACGTCGGAACGGCTAGGCCGAGTCTCACCCTTGGTCCCTCGGGACAGCCCAGAGTTGATGTTCTGAGCTCCATTCGGTCATGTGCCGGGAATCGCGTGATGAGGGGCATCGGCCGTACCATGCTGAATGCGCCGGTTCTCGTCGCGGAAAAATTCGCTCGCGGCGTCGTGGACGGCACGTGACGTGAGGGGCGGATTAGAGGAGCGGGATTCGAGTTCCTGGCAGTTCAGATGGCAGTGCAGCCAGAGCTGAACTCATGCAGCACAAGTTCAGCGAGCGCACGCGTAACGCGACACTAGCTCCACATTGAAACGAACGCCGAAGTGCAGGTAGTGCCGTGCTTCTCGCATGTTCTTCGCCGTGTGCTTGAAAGCGTTGGTGTGCAAGCTAGCCAATTTTGTAAAAGAAAAAAAAATTAACCCACGGATTCCGCCAGAACAAGTGCAGCCACTGTGCAAAATTTTATACAACTGATAAGAGCTCGACGAATTATTGTCGCAGTTGTTACTCTCGTATTCGGTTGCAACGCAACAGAATGCCAAGCTACTGTGAAGAAGTCGTGAGTCAGTACCTTGAATTTTTCCTAACGTGACAATAGGATGACTGGTGGTCAGTGCTGAAAAAGTTAACGTGCTTGGTGGATTGGTGCTACTTGGGCGGACAGCGCAGTATATGCGTACTCCTTGGCCGACCGCTGTCAACCGTACACAACAGCGTCGAGCGAACCTTGTATTTTCTGAACAGCGTGAGTGCGGAAGTGGTTGCTTGCAGTTACACAGGAGCAGGAATGTAGCAAAACTGGTTTACTGGCAAAAAGCGGCGTCATGGGACCTAAGAACGCCACATGATACATAGACGGCCGACATGTAGATATCAAAAGCCGCCGGAGTCACCAAACTCCCATTTCCTACAACACAATCGACGTCTTCATTCAGTGTTGGCGTCCACCATGCGAGAACGCCTCTTACGGATGGACATAATTCGTCTGCTACAATTCGTCTGCGCTGTGTTAGTGCCTGTAGCAGCGCTACTGCTTCTACTCGAACACTGAACAAAAATAACCGCAAAAACTGGGTAAACCACATGTCCTCTAGCGCACTACCTTTCCTGTTTTTGTTACCACCTTCTAGTGAAGTAAAAATTTACTCTCGTGCTAAGTGAGTTTTTGAACATAGGAAGGGTAGTAATTGTTTACCCCACTGAGGTTTTCAGCGTAAATTTCTACAGCTTCACAAATTTTCTGAGGCTAGTTCTGGGAGTTCTTTCCGCAGGTGAAAAATAATAGTTGACGGCTGCATTCGCCCAGAGTCGACATATTTATTAAGTATCAAATGACGGTAGAATTGATAACACATAGATTAACATACAGACAAACATGCGCGCACAACAAATGCAGAATAAAACACCACTCGAACAAACTGCAAGCGTTACTCGACTTTGACAATTTAACTTTTTGACCTGCCATGTAGTACATGCAGGTAGGAGAGCTGTTTTTTCGCATCGTTTAGCAATAACGGTTAAAAGTGCAAGCGTAAACTTAAAAGTGGGCTGCAGGTCGCTAGGAGTCACACCGTCCTTTTAATATAGACCCACCTGATCTCATCTTTTTGATTATCCAATAATTAGCTGGCACATTGGCCTATTGACCTCAGCAGTGTTAGCACTGCTGATGCTCAAGTCCACAATGTATACCTATTTACACACAAACCACGGCAGCTCAACGATTTTCATTGAGCGGCGATGCACAAACACAGTAGCAGCACCTGATTATGACAACAGGCGTAGAAAAGCGGTGCACGCCTGCATACAAGCTTCTTACTGACGGCGTACTAGGCCTTTTCGAGGAGCACAGATATGGGATGAAACACAGCTGGCGATCACAGAATCCCGTGCGAATTTCGTCGTCACTTCAGACTCAAATGAACATGTGTCCGCTATCTGCGGAGTCTTACGGGTACGGGCGATGTGTATACTTCCAAAGAAAGAGACGGATCACCGTGCGGGTTTTCTTCGTGCTCACCGGCACCCGGTTGTTCGTTCCGTCTGCCTCGTATTGGTTCTCGGCTTCGCGCTACATGTTTGAGAACAGTTGGTACGTGGGGCGGACAATTCGGGCAGCACTTTAGTCCAGCAGACATCGCCTTCTGTGGAACCAACAATATGCGAAGCTTCTTTCACCTGCCCCGGCGACACACTCCCACTGGTCACTGGCGGCGGCGGCTCGGTGCCGACGACATAGTGAGGCGTTTTGCTTATCGCTTCTCCAGAAAGCAACCACGGGCGATGACACCAGCTTGATTTTGTTACCACTGGCAGATCTTCGCGATTCGACACGGAAGCGAGGCATCCGCGACGTACATGCTCGGAGGCTCACGCTCGGAAGCGCAAGGTCGCTCGATGATGTAGGGAACGCGTGAGATCCATTAGCTCAACCGGACACACAGATCCCGAGCTTCTTGCACCGTCTGTCTCCAGGGCCGCCGCAGAGCAAAAGCCATCAATTTGCGAAAATATGCAGGACGGCTTTCCCACAGCAGGGTTTTTTTAGAGGCCCTCCCCCCCCCCCTTTTTTTTTTCGTTCACAGACTCGTTGGGCTTATGCTGCCACCAGTTCAAGTGAAAGTGCGTTGACTCGAGGTCAGTCATGAAGCACGACGATGCCAAAAAAAAAAAAAAACATATGCGGTCCTCGCGTACCTTCAGGCTTCACTGAGAGTGTCACTAGGGGGGTAAGGGGCATAAGCCGCCGTAGCAGCTGCAGCTTGCAGTCACGTGGTAATAAACTCTAAAAGGTAGGTTAAAAATCACGTGATAGAAAATTCCCTACGTGGTAAAACTGGATTTTGACATCCTTTTACTACGTGCCTCAGAGGTGGTGGTAAAACTATGTAGTGTACCACCTTTTACTCCAACACACGGTAGTAATTTCAAACGTGAGATAGTTTTCAGAGGTCTTGAGCCGCAAAAACACCAAAACTTGGGTAGTTTTTTCTTACAGTTACCTCCAAACTGAGTGACGGTTTTGCATGAACTGGCCGTTCACGATGCCTGCACTTTTTAAAACGAATGGCCCAGTTCAGAGAGCGCCACCTTGCACTGCAAAAACGAACAGCCGAGTGCGGCACTACGTGAACCACTTCAGGCAGTGCAGGTAAATCGAACGGACCTTACAACTCGCTGCGACTCTGTAGCAGACGACATCCGTGCGCTCCCCGGCTCAGAAATGTCTCGCGCTGCCTTAAACGAGTTGCCCCTTGCAGAAGTAGTAAAACGTCCTCCTTTCTGGGAGGTCAAGATGAAGGATTTCCGCAACAAGCATAAAAGGAGCATTCTTTGGGAAGAAATTGCCGAGCTCCTTAAAGAAGTCGCAAGTCGCGTACTTCCATGAAGTGAAAGCCGTTGTCGATTTAACTGGCCTTGTTCACTGGTGAAGTTGAAGTGCCGCTCTTTTCCTTCCGTTGCTCTCGACGAAGCTTCCACCGGAGTAAAAATCGTGTGCACGTGCATTTATTTATTTATTCATATATTTATTTATTGCAGTTTCATAGAAGGGTAACTCCCACGGAAAGCAAAGACTATATGCGAGACATTCCCTTT